CAGATGATCAATCTGCCACACTGAACCAGAGGTGGCAAAAGTACTCAGATCTTGTACTTGAGTAAAAGTAGAAGTACCAGAGTGTAGGAATACTCTGCTATTCCTACAATGTAAGTAAAAATCCTACATTCAAAAGATTACTCAAGTAAAAGTACTAGCAGTATTAGCATCAAAATATACTTAAAGTACCAAAAGTAAAAGTACTCATTATGCAGATTGGCCAATTTCAGAATCATATTTATTTAGTGTTTTGATTATAGTTATTGATGCATTAAAGTGCTGTTAAAGGTTCAGCTAGTTTTAATGACTGTGTATACTGCAGGGTAGCTGGTGAATTTCCTCTAGGTTTAACTAAAGTCTTATTTAAGTGTTGATTATATTTCACATCATTAATCCAAATCGGTCAAGTAACTAAAGGTATTTAATAAATGTAGTGGAGTAAAAGTACACTATTTACCTCTCAAATGTAGTGGAGTAGAAGTATAAAGTAGCATAACAATAGTATACTCAATATTTTACTTAAGTACAGTACTTGAGTAAATCTACTTTGTTACTTCCCACCTCTGCACTGAACACTACAACTGCTGATCCACTGTATCCGTGTTTTAAGTAAAATGATACAAAAGAATGATGATTAATTAGAAATCACCAAGTATTGACTGACCACATTGTTTCCAAGGAGGAAATGTGATTAATAGTACTCAGCTTTAAAGTAAATGGTGAAAACCTAATCAGTTTCAGAATGAAACACAATAACACTATTCCACTTATCAATATTTATCATATTAACTCTTTCAAATATTAATGCTGCAGCAATGTTTTAGTTGATGTGATGTATTTATTCCTCAAATCTCAAAAAGCAGAGAGTTTTTTGGAGGAAGCACCTGCTTGCTGGCACAGAGATATTTTCCACCGTAAACACTGGAAGAGTGAGGAACGTCATCCGGAGCACAATAATAAGGGGCTTTCCCGCGGCCATGTTTACCTCGGAGCAACTTGCCCCAGGAACAGCTGTCCAGACTGCCAACTGCAAGACTGCAGAGCCATGTGACTTTCACACAAAGAGTGACAGGTACAGGGGAATATTGAGTTTTCCCAAAAATGTCTAAATAATGGCTTGTTACATATATGAAGTTTAAGATACACAAATAATAATGCATGAAATAATAAATAAATGTTCCAAAAATAAAGATTATCCTTTAACATGCACTAAATGTTTATATGTTGGAAGCACTGATTTTATAGTAAACTCCAGAAATAAAGCTTAAATTGTTTCACCTACCGAAAAGGAATAGGAAAAGTGAAGCTCTCCCAAAACCTTGGAAGATCCCAGAGGAATAGCAACATGCCTGTTGAATGCATGAAGGGGGAGTTCAATTGTTCCTTGTTTATTGACAATCACTTTGTCTTTTTAAGGCAAATGCAGGAGCAAGGCCTTCTCTCACTTCATGTGTGACAGAGGAGAGAAATGGTTCCCACACAGCCAGGAAGTCAAAGAGGGGCCTGTTGCGATGTAAAGGGGGATCAAAATTGAGGAAAAGTGTGTTCCTGTGTGTTGATGTGTGTTGTGTGTGTGTGTGTGTGTGTGTGTGTGTGTGTGTGTGTGTGTGTGTGTGTGTGTGTGTGTGTGTGTGTGTGTGTGTGTGAGCTTAAATCAAAGCTTTAATAAATGCTGACTGAACACTCACTGTGCAGCTTTGAGGTAATATTCAACAGTAACTCAGTATATTTAGGCCAGAACTTTACTAAGGCTTCAAGGTACTTTAATTGAATATTTCTTTTTTCTACATTATTATTCTACAGTACTTCACTACATGTCAGAGGCATGTATTTTACCTTTTACTCTATTGCATTTTTGTGACATTACCTACTTTGAAGAATCAGATGAATAATTCAAAAATATAATTATCTATCCTGGCTCCAAAATGGTGGAATGAGCTCCCCATTGAAATCAGGACAGCAGATAGCTTGCACATATTCTGGCCCAGACTGAAAACTCATCTCTTTCGACTCCACTTCGAGCGATAGAATTACTAACAAAGAATTGCAAAGCACTTATATACTAATAAAGGACTGGCTTATCTAAAACCAGTTGAGTAGCACTACCAAAACCAAAATGTTTTGGCTATATGAAACCTGATGTACTTATATGATTCTGTTTTCTTCAAGTTTGTATCTTGTTGGTCGAATGCACTTATTGTAAGTCGCTTTGGATAAAAGCGTCAATGTAATGTTATCTAAAAATGTATCATATAGTATGAATGGTTTAGGTACAACTTTACTTGCCACTTGGCATGAGCTACCAAGTGTTATCTAAACACTGTTGTGCAGATTGAAAACTATAACTTTTGGAATGTTTTGTACATTTTTTATTCTAAAAGTTTTGTACTTTTACTTTGTACTGAGTCCACCACCGATAAGCACATATTGTGGGTCACATGCGGTGCACACTCACATTGATGACAGGAATTGAAAGGCTCTTTGGCAGCATGTGTGCTTTTGGCCAGGGCTGCGTCAGTAAAGGAGACCCACGCTCCCTTTCTTTCCCACCGTTGTTCAGGTTATCCTGTGGGGCCACTTATGACCCAACTGTAGGCAGGATGCAATGTCTGGGGACCCCAACAGGGTTGTACATAAGCATCCGCCAAGCCCTGGGAAGAAAACAAGAGCTGATGGAAAACCAGAAGAAGGGAGCATAAAGAGAAACTGCAGTTAGTAACCAGGACGCACTCAATAACACTCACCATGCACCTGCAGCCTGCGTGTGTGTGTGTGTGTGTGTGTGTGTGTGTGTGTGTTTACTTGTGTGTATGTGCAGGTTGTCCCTTCAGAGAACTACAGCACAGCACAGTCCCCACACAGAGCACAGGTGGTCCAAACAAAAACCTATGAAGTGTTGCCCAGAGAGTAATATCCCCACGTTGCGTGTTGTATAAAAGCCCCCCATAGGAAACAAACACTTCCGGTGCTGTAAGATTTATTGTTCCCCGCACTTATAGCTCACGACATGCTCTGAATGATATCTTCCTCACAAGGTTCCTTGATATATCCTTAATAACGTTTAATAGTCACTGAACATGCAAAGCAGAAACAAAAGGGTTCATAATTACTGCCAGATAACTCAAGGACATATTGTTTTTGTGTTTATCGAAGGAGGTGAATTCCCTCTTCGCTGTATTGTGTGATGAGAATAGGAAAGAGCTGGTTAACTGCAGTGTATGGTGTGAAAACCAAAAGCATTGTTACACTTTGATAGATTGACCGCACATCAGCTCGCGATCTTTCCCCCACTCAATGTCAAAGACTTCACATCTGTATTCACATCCGCACACTGTCATCTGCACCAGCGACGGATACCCAAGTGTTACGTAACAAAAGCATCTCAGAAGTTCAACTCTCTATTGAATGATTGTTTCTTGTATACGAGGGCAATGTAAGGGTCATGTATTAATAGAACTGGCATGCATTTAGGGACAAGCTGGTAAAGTGGACCTACTTTAGAATAGTCAGGGGTTTAAAACGTGACTTTCTACGCCCTCTAGTGTCAACACTGAGGAACACCAACAAACAGGAAGCACTGTACCTCAGACATGGACTGCATTTTGTATGAATACAGAATCATTGCGTAGACTTTGAAGACGTTTATGTAAGTGGGTTTTCAGTCTGCAATGGAGGATGTGTAGACTTTCTGCTGTTCTGACACCAATGGGGAGCTCGATCCACCATTTTGGGGCCAGGACAGCATACAGTGGTCTTTTTGATAAAGGGTACCTGGGTCCCACTCGCAGTGAGGGAGAAGCTAGCTGATTGGCTGATGCAGAGCACATGCTGGAGTGCATGGTTTACAATTTAAATTAAAGGTTAGTAATGGCTGATTGTCACATTTATTTGACTAGAGTAACTATAGTTAAAAAGGTATACTAAATAAAAAGGTAATGAATAAATAACACCATTTTTGTGTTTCTATAAATTGACAATAAAGGAAATTAATTAAAAAGATGAACCTAAATCTACAGTATATTAAAGTAGAACAAGTACAATTGGGAGATATAGAATAACTGGACGAATTAGCAGTATAATATTACTTCTTGAAATAAAAAGCTGCACTATTAGAAAACAGTACACAATGTGTATCCCTTTCAAATCAATATTTCTCTTTCAATTTTATTCCAATTTGACCTTACACAGGTTTAGGAGAATAACATATCAAGTATTCCAATGTGTTGCAGATACTCCAACATTGTATTTCCACTAGAGGGCTCACAACCTGTTCACCGGTCCCTCTGGTGGCAAGAATGTGTGCAGCTTCACAGAGGCACCAAAAACATGTATCACTGTTTGTGAGACTGCACGGACTTCGAGTTGAAGAGATAAACAAAAGCCCACCACAGCTAAAACCACTTGAGGAACTGAGATATGATTCATGGAAACTATGCGTACTGGTTTAAATATAGCACAAAACCACACCTATAGCCAACCCTATAGTCAACCATAGAGATACACGCAGGGCTGCAGATCTCATTTGATATGCAAGACATCTAAAAAAACACACATTTGGAAATCAACCGTTCTGATGAAACTAGTAAACTCCTTCCTTTGTAATTGGACCTTGGTTGAGTTGCATTTGTTAGTCTGTAGACTAAAGATGCATTTTATTTAATCAAAGTTTCATTTAAGTTAAATACCTGACATTTAATACGCAGATGAGGCTATTTGTAATGTTTTGTAAGATAATCAAAATCCTCAGATGCAAGGGAAAAGGGAACTATGGGACAAAAATAAATAGAAACAGTGCTACCTATTTACAGTAAACTTGTTGTAGTTCCTTAGGGGAGGCCGTGTTTAGAGGGAGGGAGAGAGAGAAAAAGACAGTAGAAAGAGAGAAAGCCACAGAGAGAAAGAGAGAGAGAGAGAGAGAGAGAGAGAGAGAGAGAGAGAGAGAGAGAGAGAGAGAGAGAGAGAGAGAGAGAGAAAGAGAGAGACAGTAAAGGAGAGTGACAGCATTAGCCTTCAATCAGGAAATTGGAGACATTTTGCATCTGGAGTACTTTTGAAGACACAAGCTGGGGGACAAGTTCAAGGTATTTATCTGCTGTGTGTTTGTCTCATATCAAAATCTGCCAGTATTAACAGAAATGCAGGCAATGAACAATCATATTAAACAGTGTTGAAATTATTAACAAAAGTACATTTAAAAAACTGTTTCTAATAGGAGAAAACCAGATGACTCTAATGGTTCAAAGCTAATAGAGTTTTACTGGTATTCACATGGTTAATGATAAACAAAGGATAATATTTGGAGTAGTTGTTACAAACTATTATTACATTATGGATAAAAAAAAAAATTTGACTGAGAAAAAAAAACTATTCCTCGTGCGTATAGAAGGCCAGATAAGGGTATTCATATTCATCATTCACACCTAAAACAAAAAAAAGATTATAGTACGTATTTCAACTGTCATTTATAATATTTACACAGTTTTAATGACACGTCATGAGATATTTGTAGGGTTTAAAGCTCTAAGATTGTCTCAATGCAGTTGTTATCTGAGGGAAATGTTACATTTATGGCATAATTAAAGTATTTTTTTCAATATTCCTGTGACAGTGCAGTCACAAATATGCTGAATCATAATTCAATGAACAGCAAGGCAAATAATGCCACACTGCTTAGCCCACGCCTCTTAGTCAAGTTTCGTTATAGCACATTGTAACTGTACAAGAGTTGACTTTTTAACTTTCACATTTGCAAAACAACCACATTTTTATTTCTGTGATAAACACAAATCCACAAAGGTGATCCAGTTATGAGGCACAAACTGTCCTTTCTTTATTCTGACTGATAGTAAACATTTTAAACAGCAGTTATCTTTTCACCATAAATGAAAAACATGATGCTTTCACATTGACCCAAACAGTTCATGGTAAACTTCTCCTTTGGTTATATTTAGCACTTTTATTTCTCTATTTTTAACTCTTGACATGACACTATGGCTGTATCAGAAACGGTAAATGCTACCATACAAAGATCAAGAAAAACACGTTCTCACTTCCTTTTATTGAGAGCGATGTGTTTTTGAGCTCACCAAGAGTCTCTACTCTGATGATAATACTGATTTTGAGTTTCATTCATTTTTACAGCACCGGGCATGAGTTCACAGACGGAGCCCTGCAGTGGGAGGAGAGGAGAGTGAAAACAGCTTCAGGCTCCTCTGCTTAATCAGGTACAAATCAAAATGAAAATACATGCTGTAAATTTGATATTGTAAAATGAACTGGGTTAGGGTTAGGGTTATGCATTATGCAGCATTGTATTGTACTATTACAATGAGATAAGCATGCTAGTTTGGGCGGCAAAAAGCATCATAGTATAAAGAGAATTGTAGTATATTTAGGAAGAACGGTATTAGTGTTAATATCTGGCTGTACGTCTCCATCAATCTATTACAGTGCACAATAGATAACGCCTTTAATATCTTGAGCTTATAATAAGGGCGAGATGATACACTTACACCTCACCCACCAAACATATTGTTAGCAGTATGCTGTTTGACTGACAATTTCCAATATATATGCAGGATGGGCTGCGCTTGCAGTGACAAGAAACAGGTACAGGATGACAACTACAAAAGAAAATTCAGCACTCAGGCCTCTAACCAATCCAATTACATAGTAAGTAGACCTTTTAAATGATAATCTATAGTCATCTTAATACGTACAAAGTATGTTCATTTACTTTAATTCATTTGCCATTGTTTTTTATTCACGTTTTGAATGCTAAATAGGACATATCTTTCTGTTCTTTAGGCACGAAGTGAACGGACCCTTACGGATACTGGTAATCACTGACCGCACGCATTCTGACAATCTTTCTCCTGCGTTTTTGCAGTTGACTGTTGCTCTGCAGAGACACATTAGTAGCAGCAAGAGGAGGCCACTTTTAGAGATTAAAATCTAAGTTGTGTTTCCTATCTTCTCTTCTGGGGGAGGGATAGCGTTCATGTCACTATCACAGACAGTGTACAAACATTCTGTATGCTTACGCTATATACTTTGACTATATTCACTTTTACCTCCAGAGTATTAGCAGACAGAGCTCTTCCTTTAAAATAAATGTGCTTTATTTGCAGATGATGTTGTTTTTGTGGCACAACATGACTTCGAAGCAACCAACGACAGGGATCTACCTTTCAGAAAGGGAGACAAACTTAAGGTTTTACAAGAGTAAGTATTCTCTTCCTAGTGCATGGTATATTAATCAGTGAAACAAAATTGTCCTTCTAACGCAGATAAATAAAAATGATCTGCCACTTTTGTAGTGAGGGAGAATGGTGGATGGCTAAATCTTTGGAGACCGGACAGGAAGGTTACATCCCGTGTAATTATGTTGCCAGAGCAGATACACTGGAGGTGGAAAAGTAAGAAATCATCAAACTGCATGGCAGATAAGACTTCTTTGTACTGTGAACTCAATTTGTATGTGTTTTTAGTTTTCTACATGCAGTGTCCTTTGTGGTTCTCTCCTCTGCAGATGGTTTTACAGGGACATAAGTAGGAGAGAGACCGAACGTATGCTTTTAGCCCCTGGAAACAAACCGGGGGCCTTTCTGATTCGAGAGAGCGAGACCAGCAAAGGTGACTGCCACGGCCTCTTTTTATAATCACGCCACAAAATAGACTTTTAGAAGCACATTTAGAAACATGTGAATATGACCAATTTGAAGAACTAAATGTAACTGGATGGTCTACGTGTTTTCCCTTTAGGGTCCTTCTCACTGTCAGTCAAAGATCATGTACCAGAACAAGGAGATGTGGTAAAACACTACAAGATTCGCTGTCTGGACAAAGGTGGTTACTACATCTCCCCCTCCAACCCCTTCACATCTCTACAGAAACTGGTCCAATACTACACCCGTAAGTAATAAACAGATCGCTTTTTACCTATCCACAAAGATCATTAAAAAAGATTACACATGGGAGTTGAATTGTTCCTTAATAAAAAATAATAGAACAAACATTGTGCCTTAGTTTACTGCTGTAAATCAAAAGTTAATTGAAAGGGGAAGTTAGACCCTTGGGTTGTGTTGTGCATTTCCTGTTTGTTTTTCCACTGACTAAACCACAAGATGAGAAGGGAGTATCTCTAGAATGGCTTTTAATGCACAGCGACTTATGAGTGAGTAGCCAACACATACAGGCCTTTAAAACTATTTAAGGAACATTAGCTCATGGGTATGTTTGAGGAACTTAACTTAGCAAAATAGTAACTAAAGAGGGAGCAGAGATATTGGTAATTAAGTCCTCATGTGTCACGTTTGGGTGCAGGCGCATCAGACGGTTTGTGCCAGCGGCTGAATGCTCCTTGTAAGGAGAAGGCCCCCGAGCTGCCATGGGCTCCTGATGAATGGGAGATTCCCAGAGATACCTTGAAGATGGTGAAGAAACTGGGGGCCGGGCAGTTCGGAGAAGTGTGGATGGGTGAGAGGAAGCTAACAAATTGTCCTGAAATTGGCAACACTTTATAAGCCAAGGTGGAAGAGTGCAGTGAGTTAAGCGCAACGTGTTGATCCCCACTGCAGGTTACTATAAGAACACCCAGAAAGTTGCTGTAAAGACTTTAAAGGAGGGAACCATGGAGCCGGCAGCCTTCCTCCAGGAGGCCAACCTGATGAAGCAGCTGCAGCACGAGCGGCTGGTGCGCCTCCATGCTGTGGTCACCAAGGAGCCCATTCTGATCGTCACTGAGTTCATGATCAATGGTAAGCTGAAACCAGAGAAAATGTGTCATGCTTATAATCAACTATAATCATCATGGTCGCAGAATATTTTTCTGGGGATCTGACCATACGATTAAATTGCTGAATTGGTTGCAGCCATTGCTCCAAACCTTTAAAAAAAAAACGCCTACTTTTAATCAACATTTTACAAAGTAATGCAATCAAATCCAAGGAATGAAAAACTTTCAATTTATGATGCTGTGTCAGAAAGTTGTTTATATTCAATGGCCATTTATGATCAGCTGTTCCATTATTTAGTGAGCATATAAGAAGTTTGTTGGTGAGAGAAAACACTAATTAGAGAACTATATAGTTAAAGATGACCAGGGAACTCTATCAATCAAAACCTCTCATCAAAATGCTTTAAAATATGTATTGCCAGGTTGATCTACTGAAAGATGCTGTAAAGAGCAGGTGTCTGCAATGATGTATACACAGACATTTGAGTATCATGTAAGACTTAATGTACAGAAACATCTAACCTTATCTAAACTCTTATCTAGTATTTTCTATTAAACAGCAATGTTTCTTTGTCACTTTGAATGTGTTGATGATAGAGTTATCATCCTTCTCCTCTCTCCTCTGCAGGATGTCTTCTGGACTATCTAAAATCAGATGAAGGGAAAAAGCTCAAGATGAATAAGCTGATAGACATGTCAGCGCAGGTGGGAGACTTATGATTGTAAATGGCTCATTTTAACAACATGATGTCCGTGAGTGCGAAGAATCGTATGTTGTACAGTATGTGGCCTGTTCATCATAGACCTCTCAATACAGTCATGAGAGCTTTCTCTACATTTCTAAATAGGCCTACAGGATGTTTATTGTTTTACTTTGCCTGTTAGAGCGTCAGTATTTCATTCTAAAAAATACCAAAGCATGCCATGTTAATATAAGCATTTTCTGACAAAAACAAAAGCGTTTGAGCTCAAAGCCTTTTTTTTACACACAGGCCGCATTATAGCCCTCTGAACGTCAGTTTAATTATGCTTTCACACCTGCTATGATGTGAATACACGTGGTAACCGTCAGCAGTAGCGGTGTGGTTTCTGTGGTAAGGCTTCTACTCTGCTGGCTTGAAAGACTCCCCATACGTCAATTATTAACATCCGGACAGGAAATCATGTTATTTTCCATTTGCAGTGCGCTCCCTCAGAACTTCTTGCCCCTTTCGAAAAAAGCCCTTTCCTGATAGTTGGCACTTCCTGTTAAACCCACTGCTGCCATTATCATAAACACAAACACTATTCACGCACGCATACAGTATACACACATGCTGGAGCTGTACTCTACACACTGACCAGAGGAACCACACACAAGCAGCACGTGCACCAAATCTCAATTTCACCTATGGATGTGCTGTAAAACAGATATCTTTCAAGTTGTCTTATTTTTTAACAAAATGACTTTCTCTCTATATGACAGATTGCTGAAGGCATGGAGTTCATCGAGGGGAAGAACTACATTCACCGAGATGTGCGTGCAGCCAACATTTTGGTCAGCGATGACATCCACTGCAAGATAGCAGACTTTGGCTTGGCCAGGATCATCGAATCAGAATACACAGCTCAAGAAGGTACAGTATGTACAAAGGTTTCCTCCCATTGGATAATAAATGCATCCAAGGCCTCAGCTAGAATTTTAGGAAATACTGATTGGATGAATTGAAGGGAGCAAATGCACCAGCCACCCCACTGAAATTTAAATAGACACTCAAATCTAAAAAATATAAGCGTTTTTATCTATTCTGTTGACTGTTAAATCATATTTTTATGTAGCTTTTCCTGCAAGTTTAAAGGTTGACGCTATTTACAATTCTACAATATTTTGCAGATGTTAAAAAAGTGTAAATGGATAATTAGTTGCACATTATCTCCACTATTGTTTGAATATGTGATAGTGTAGAGTCTCAGCAGTGAGCGATATGGATAAAATCTTCTATCATATTATATATGTTTTATTTATGTGAAAGAAATATGTATACACACCTGCATACTTTTGCATTTCCCTGCTGAGTAACACAATTTCCTCTGCCTTTTTCAACCCTCTCTCTGACAATTAGGAGCCAAATTTCCCATCAAATGGACGGCTCCAGAGGCCATCAACTTTGGCACATTCAGCATCAAATCAGATGTGTGGTCCTTTGGGATCCTCCTCACAGAGATAGTCACATATGGAAGGATACCCTACCCAGGTGAGAGAAGTGAGAAATAAGTAAAAGGAGAGAAAAAATGAAATTAGCTTATATTTAAATTGTTTAGAAACCAGCTGTTACTTTGCAGCTATGAAAATCGCACATTATGATGACTAAAAATATTGCAATGTCTCGTAATGCGTCTTTTCTTTATGTTAATCAGGGATGACCAACCCAGAGGTGATCAGGAGTCTAGATCAGTCGTACAGGATGCCGTGTCCGGACGGCTGCCCTGAGGAACTCTATGATGTTATGACTATGTGCTGGGGGCAGAGGTCTGAGGACCGGCCCACGTTTGAGTTTCTGCAGAACACTCTCAACGACTTCTTCATCGCCACGGAGGGACAATATGAGATGCAGCCGTGATTAAAGAGAAGGTTTCCTGCTGATAACATTGAAGACCACAACATGTCCTAAAGACAGATGTGAGACTTGCATGGGTAAAGGATGAGGACCAACCAAAGATATATATTTCTTAAGACTTTTTCAAACATTTCAAATGAACAGAATTTTGTACTCCTATCTTATTAGTGATTTTGAAAGTTATTATTAGCTGATAGCTGACAGCTAACAGTAAGAGCTTCTGAAACAAGTTGTAGTCAAAAAAGGAAATGTTAAGGGTTGCCAACTACCCTGGTATTGATGGCTCGCATTGTAGTATGAGAAGACATAATTAGGATTTGGTTAAAAGAAAAAATATTGGAATACATACACCGTCCATGCCCTGTTAAAAGGCATATGGACCCAGCAAAGTTGGACCAGGTAGAGTTCAAGATGAATCATTTGCATGGTACAGAAACGTGCAGCCTGAGAATACATGCACAATAATTTGCACTTTCCCACCCCCCTTTATTATTCCTTTCAATGGATACAGGAAAGGGGCTTTTTTAGGAGCGTTTGTACTTGCATACATATTCTATTTAAATAAAAATATTTACGTCTTATTTTTACCTATTTTTATATATAAAAGGATCCCCCTTTTACATGGCAACCTAAGAGATCATTAATTTGATACAAAATATTGTTGCTATGTATTAATAAACTGGAGACATTATTTATTGACCAATCAGAATTAAGTATTCTAGGCATTTTAAAACACTGGCTTAATTTCTTTTTTATAAAGAAATATTCTAGAACACATAAAACTACAGAGAGCATTGAATCATTTTAAAGAAGGCGGCACTCTAAATGAGGCTTTGCATGAACAGGATATCCCTTACAAACATAATAATCATACGTAATCACTTTTGCAGACCAAATAAAAGTTTGGTATTTTAACTTTTACATTGGTGAATGGAGGAAAATGTAAAAGTGATGAGTGATTACAAAGAGTTGCATACAGGAAGCCCTTAAAAGCATCTCACTTTCCTAAATTACAGTGGGTTTGATCGTCTAGCTTAAGCATCCCCGGGGGGGCCGGCAGTATCTTGAAGATAAGAGAATGGAAGGGCCGCGGCAGCCAGGGGTTAAACCCAGCCACTTCCTGAATGGACAGGAAACAGGAAGTGTGAGTCAGCATTCCTGAAATGCCACACAGCTAGAATGACCTCCCATGACAAACTGGTTGAGGTGTTCACATTTCCTTTAGGTTTAAAATATCAGTTTTGTGCTTGTACTTTTTTCTTTTCAATCTGTTGGTCGGTAAACCACCTTCAATCTTCAAGACTTTCATTTCCTTTGTCAAACAGTATATACTCTGCTGTGAATAAGTTAATAGAAAATTAAAACGAATTCATACATTCACAACTATCATCACGGTAAGTGTTATCTGCCATAAGTCTAGATATATTTTATAGATCAGTCGGTGACAGACGGTGTTAATGTACCACTGGCCTGCTTTCCTGTTGAATCATCAAAACAATCTGTTACAGCGATTGCAAAGGATAATTTATATGGCTGAGCTGAGGGCTCTTAGAAAAATAAATGAAATGACATACACTTTGGAGAGTTTCCAACTGACGCAACAGTAGGAGAGCTATGTATCACAGCATCTTGCATTAATTTCATTAAAATGCATTGCAAGCGTTAGATAGCCGCCACATTGGCAGTCTGTGTGATATCAATCTTTCTGAAGAATAGAAGCAAGGACAGTTTTACTGTGAGTTTGGACTTTTCAACCCCTGCACTGGCTTGGATGCCCATCTTTATCAATTATTGGAATTAACATTTCCCCTTAGTCATATGGTGACTAATGTTTTCCCAACAGAAATTATGCGTATATATAGCAAATAAAAAATACATACATGTTAGTAAAGAAAAGTCTGACATTTCTAATGCAGGTTACAGTGATGTTTACACCGTTGTCCTCCTGCAGAGGTCAGTGTTGCACAGTTTCACATGACATACTCTGCTGTAAACTGTAAAGAGACAGTTGAGCCTGATAAATGAAAACAGTGAAGTACTGATAAATTCAACTCACTCACTCACTTCACACGAAAAAGTGAAGTGTTCCCATCAAAAGCAATTTGTAAAATGATACTTCACAACGTCATGTTTTGGCAATGTTATGATGATAGTGATAGAAGTTCCTAGGAGAGATGCAAACCATTTAGGTTTGCTTTAAATTAGTGTTTTGGAAAAAAGAAATACTGAATGACTCGACCGCATTATTATGTGGACATTTGTTGTGACAACTTCCACAGGAATAATTTTCGGTCTATCATGAAACGTTCTGCTAAAGAGTCTAACTTTGATCAACCTCACATATCCGATGTGGCATCGTGACATGTGAGCTGTGGTCTCTAACCACCGGGCCGGACAGTCACGCACTGATATAATCTGTATTCATTTGATTTTATCTGTCCGTTTTACGAGGCATCTAATAGCACATCTTTGTATTTTGCTTTCTACTAGATCATGTTAACATGCTTTAATGTTAAAAAGACAGTTTATTTTACTCGTACCATCTGAATGTCCAAATGTTAAAGTGCCTGTCTCTTTAGGCATTTACAGCTCATGTGAAAGCATTATGCTCTGATTGGCTTGCAAAGGTAGCCATGGGTTAATAGATCAAAAGGGGGGCAGTTTATTCTAAAGAGCCTGCATGTGACATGGGAAGGGGAGCATCATCTTAATAGCTTGTTGAATCCAATGTTTCTGACTTCCTGAAACCTTCAAAAGTCTCACTGTGTTGTCTTATTACTGTATATGTGCGCTGGTAGGCAGAGGTGGGAGAAGTACCCAGATCTTGTACTTGAGTAAAAGTACCAGAGTGTAGGAATACTCTGTCCGTTACAAGTAAAAGTCCTGCATTCAAAAGATTACTCAAGTAAAAGTACAAAAGTATTAGCATCAAAATAAACTTAAAGTACCAAAAGTAAAAGTAGCTACTTATTATGCAAAATGGTCCATTTCATTATAATTACTAATGCATTATTGTGTTTATTAAAGCTTGTAAAGGTGCAGCTAGTTGTAATGACTTTGTATGATGCAGGGTAGCTTGTGAATGTTAATCCAGGTGTAACTAAATTATTATTTAAGGGTTGATTATATCAATCCAATCCGATTAACCTTTGAATTATTGTGGAGTAGAAGTACAAAGTAGCATAACATCGAAATACTCGTACAAAGTACAAATCTCTCTAATTGGTACTTAAAGCTGGGTTATGTAATTTATTTCAGAAACACTTTTTGTTATATTCCATGGAATGCTCTTAACATCCCGATAGCAATGAATATATTAAATGCTTTGACAATAAATACATTTAAAAAAATCATCTGTGGAAGCCGTGGCGCTGTAAAAAGCACGACTAATCATTTTAGCCGGTCCGGCTATAATAACTGGATGGTCTACCTGCCTGTCAGCCTTCCATCTGTGCACAAACTTATCTCGTGCCCTCATTGGTCATGTGCGCGTTCGTGTGTGTTGGGGGAGGGGCTCTGTAAGGAAGTCTGGAAGATTTTTTCCGGTTGTGTATTTTCAAATTCTAGCGCACTCGAGCTGGTTTCTCCAAAATTACATACCCCACCTTTAAGTACAACTTAAATAGTAAATGCACTTTCAAGATCTGTTGGTAGGCACTCAAGATATGTACAAGTTTACAGGTGATTCTTATACGATATTTTTACTTCACCCATTATTCATGTATGCATCTTTATCAGCTAATTCTGCTGTTTACGCCAGTGGTGAATTACCCATTAAATATGCTAAGAATCAATCTATCGAGCATAAGCTAAATATTTACATCCAGTTCAACATACTGTGAATGCTATGAAGCCAATATTTGTTCACTATTCTCAAAAGCTTCCCCACAGGGTCAGATCATGATAACATCCGTCTGTCAGCTGGTGAACTGAGGGAAGAAGCATTAATCACGTCTCACGCTGCCGTGTGATTGATAGGCAGCATCACCTTGAAATGAGCCGTGATGTTAACACAAGATGACAAGACATGTGGGGTAAAGGTTGGGGGGCTTAATCATCCTCTCTCCCCTCCTATTGTTTATCACAGCTGCCTTAGACAAATAATGACGGGAAACGACGGCTCACACACAGATTGATGAGTGATCCCTGCAGAAGGCAACACATCATTAGTGTCTTCTGAGGGTAACCCTGCTCTCTGAGATAAAGACGAGCATATCCAGCACAGATGAAAAGAGATGGGCTTTCATCTTCCAGTAATGTTGCTGTTTTCAATGTTGTCCAATTGAGATTATGCTCCTCATACACATGTCCTCTCCTGGGCTTTGATGTCTTTATATTAATGGAGTCCATCAATCACGAGTGTTTGGTCCAATAGATGTGAGGGCTCTTGAAAACGATGACAGAAGATGTGTGCGAAACATTTTGCAGAATGAGCCTTTTACCATAAAACCAAGAGATGGAGGATAGTTTTGTCATTATCAGTTATTTGCACACCTCTCTAAAAACACTAACAGATTACATTTGATATATTCTAAGACATACAGTATTACCTAGAGTCTTTTTGTACATATACTATAAATAAATCTGTTCTCCGAGTTGGACTTTTTAAAGATTTTTTTTTTTACTGTTGTTTCTTACTCTGCAAAAACCAAACATTATGGGCTTTTTTGCTCCAACAGTAATACAAAGTTTTATTTCCTTAACTTTTTTTCTGTCGAGGAGGGCTTTAAACATAGAATTGCTCCCTTAACGGCTCCAATAGAGTGCTGCAAACAATGATTTGTGGGAAGAGTTAAAACACTTGTGTTTCTATGAAGCCTACAGCACAGCATAACATACTGTACATCCATTGGATACAAATCCAATATTATTATAACATTATAAAAGGGGTGGAGGAAAGTACCCTCATGAAGTATAGCCTAATGCTTTACAGAGCATTTTAGGGTCTTTCAGCTTCTTGTTTTGGTTTCAAGATCCAAAACGTCATGTTCTGACATACAAAACATTATCATTATGCATGTTAAATGTTAAATGTAAAATGGAATGCATTTATGTAGTGTCTGTACAGTCTTAGCTGCCTCCCACAGCGTTCTAACATATACAATTCAGCATTCATCCATTCACAGATATTCATACAGAGTCAGACACCGGTTTAGGGAGACCAACATTCACACACACTAACACACCATTCACTGTCAGGAGCATTTTGGAGTAAAGTATCCTGCCCAAGGACACTCCGACATGTCGACTGTAGTGGCTGGGAATCAAACCATCCGATTGGTGTACGAAAACTAAACATCCTGAGGCACGGTTGTTATATGAAGTAATGCAAAACATTAAAGAAAACCATAAAGACTGAGAACTCTTTTGGCTCATATTGCATAGATATAGGCTGATTATATTCTCTTGTTTCTAACCAAAAGGAAGGCTCGTGACTAGACATCCATTTGTCAACTCATGAACTAATGGAATTTTCTTTGGTGAAGCCAAAACTAAAATAAATCTGCACAAATGGGCACAACTTATGGAGAGCTGAAAGATTTGGAAAACCATCTGCTAGATTGATACTTTCTCTTGATATATGAGTCTGTCAATTCATTTACTGTAAGAAGCCTTAGGAACGTAGCAGGAACCCCACCATCCCCTCAAATGTATCTGGTAATTGACCACTGTGGTTGTGCTCAATGATGAGTCAAGGGCACCGGTAACTACAGGCAAATGTAATTATATGTGCGCTGGTGCAGTAAAAAGTACTAGAGGATCCTGCTGGCCTACGCAATGTGGGCTGAAATGTGACCCTCCAATGTTCTATTTAGACCATTTGTCTCCACTGTTAAGCATTAAAGGACAAAATGATGAGATTTACTGTGGAAAATGATGAAGAATCAGACCAATGTACTTTGGTATAAGTGCGAACATCTCTCAGCTAGTTTAACTCCACACAGTACAATCCCATGAACCTTAACTGCACAGTAAAACACTCAGCTACATCTCACACAGCTGTGGACTTAAGTAACAGCTGGTTCCTTGCGTCATGGACATATTAACCTTTTGTTAGCTCATCAACAAGACAGCTCATCATCCCTGATCAGTATGCAGCACTTTGCTAAGGTCCCTGCTGTCACCTCCTCCCTTCTCGCGGGGGATTGTGTACCAAATGTCAACGTAAATATTCATGTAGGTGGCTTTGACCTTGGATGGTCTTCACGTTCGACCACAGTATGCTTTCTCTATAAGTGCTTTTACATTTAATGTCAGAAAGTGGGAAGTGAAGATAAAAACTTTGGAAAAAAGGAGGTAAATCTATGATGAGAAATTTCATTCATAAAGTCATTCCATTTTAGGGACTTAAGTGCTTTTCCTTTCGAGGCATAAAACTCTTTGGACTTTGGACCTGAATGTCATAAGGAGGATGGACAATATTTAATTATAAGCAGTCGAAGTCTGCAGTCACTTATTAAAACTCTTCCATTTTTCTGATTTCTCATTACTCATGAAGTTCTTTCACTGGGCACTGAACAT